ATATTAAAAAATAATCATAAAAGATTTTATATTATTTTAAAAATATTCTACATATATTAAAAAATTATATATAATGTCAAAATAGAGTACATATATTATTAATGAATTAAAAAATATGAATGATAAAAAAATATTTTTTAATTTTTTTTTTATCTTATTTTAAAAGTGAGTAGATTATCTCATTTCTTTTGTTATATTTTGAAGATTGTGGACTACCCACCTTTAAACAAAGAATATAGTTTTCTAAAAGTGATTTTTTCTTTAAAGAGAGTGGATTACTCTTCTTTGTAAAACTTTTTATTTTGTATTGAAGATTGTAGATTATTCTCCTCTAATTTAATTTTTTGAATTTTTTTAGTTGTTTATAGAAGGAAAGATTATAGATGCTAGTCTTAGCAAAAGTGAGAATAAATTTGCAACTATTGCAAATCTTCATGAGCTTGTCAACACTCTAAGAATAAAAATTTCATGTATTTCTAATGTAAATCATGAAGGTACTATTCTTATACATATGGAGTTCAAAGTCTATGCCAAAAAGTTGTATAGTTGAAGGAACCAAGTAGGTCAACCTTACAACCAAATTCAATAAGTCTTACTTTTACAAGTACAAGAAAGGCAAGGATTATTATGCCTGAGAAGTTTGATGGAATAAGATCAAAATTTCAAGGATTTTTGCAACAAATTAACTTCTATTTAAGATTACATTCTTTCTAATACCTTGATGAATTTATTCAAATAGGATTTATAGGTGCACTTCTATCAGGGAGTATTATTTCTTAATTTGCACCTTTAATGAAAAAAAATTCACAACTATTCTATGATTTGAATTCATTCTTGGAAGTATTTATGGCAACATTTGGAAAAAGTGATCAAAAAAATATAGTAGAAATCAAGCTTATATTACTACAATTAGAATCACGTTCAACCATCACATATAATGTTGAATTCTAAAATCATGCTTGCATCATAGATTGAAATGAATACGCCCTTATTAATTAGTTTTGATATGGATTAAAATATAATATCAAAGATTTATTATTGGCAATGCCAAGAGTAGATTCATTAAAGTAATTTATTACTTAAGCCATTGCATATGACAATCAATTCTTTAGAAGACGTCAAGAATAAAGATTTGATTGAATAGATACAAGTTAAGCTATAGCAACACCTTCTAAGTTTTCGAAAGCTTACTTATTAAAGCCAAAGCCTATTCAAATTGATACAATATGTTTTAAACTTCTTACTGAGCAAAAAAGGACTTGTCATGATTAAGAAGATTTGTACTTATATTGTAGAGAATCCAAGCACACTATTGAATATAGTCCAAAGAAACAATGCAATCACAAAATGAGAAGTATGGTTGCTAAAGAAGACAATGTATTAAAAAACAAGTTTTTCTAACTATGATATGAACTGTGTTATTGAAATCTTACATAACACCTAGTAAAGATTATATTTTCTTTTTAAATCCTTGACCTTGTTTCACAAAAGAACTTTATTTAGGACCAAAAAATTCCAAAGTCTTAATCTTATTTGATTCAAGAGCCTTAGCATGTTTTATAATCAAAGACTTTGTCAAAAAATAAGAAATAATATTAATTAAGAAAACTAAATCCATACATGTAGAAGTCACAGATAGTCATTTGTTATCTTTTGGAAATATTATCCATAGGACTGTTCTTTTAATGTAGCAATTAAAGATCATAATAATATAATAATACTTAATATGATAAGACAACAAGCTTGATTTAAACATCCTTTCTAGGCATTTTTATCTTACATCAAATAATAATAATAATAATAATAATAATAATAATTTTTTATCAATAAAAAATAATTCTCTTGAAGTTGGAGCATTTTCATCTTCACGAAATAAAATCAACATTGATTATTGATTCAACTTTTATTAAGCAAATTCAATCAAGTATGTCTTTTGATCCATTTGTTCATGATATTAAGAATAATTCTTCTAAGTCTCATGATACTTTCAAGTTCAAATTCAAAAATAATCTATTCTATTTTAAAAGACAATTATATATTTTACAAAGTGAAGTAAAATTATGAGTTTTTTAAGCTTATCATGACTTTCCAACAATTGAATATTTTAGATACAACAAGACTTTGGAACTAATATCAAGGGATTTTATATGGCTTTAAATGTGGAAGGTAGTTAAAGACTTTGTAAAATTATGTGATATTTGTTCAAGATCAAAAACTCCTTGTCATTGATCTTATGGACTTCTTCAGCCATTACCTATTGCGGAACAATCATAGTCTTTTGTTTCTAAGGATTTTATCATGTATCTTTCAATATTAGATTCATATGATTTTATATTTGTGATAATAGATTATTTACTAAGATGGCATATTTTGTACCATGTACAAAATCTATCACATGTGAAGAAACAACTAAACCTTTTCTTAACAATATCTATTGTCATCATACATTGCCTAAAAATATTATATTAGATAGAAGGACTCAATTTGTATCAAGTTTTTGGAGAATCCTTTTCAAGTTTCTAAAAGTGGATATAAAGCTCTTTTTTAATTTTCATCTTCAAACTAATAGATAAATAAAACAAATAAATTAAGTTTTGAAGCAATATTTGATGTATATTAATAACCATTATTAAGACCATTAGACAATTTTTTTGTCATTGGCAGAGTTTACGTACAATAATTTGGTACATTCTTCTATTCAATAAATAACTTTTTTTTTGCCAATTATGGTTATCATCCATGACTTAATATTTTTGACTTTTTTAAAATTGATAATCTTACAGTAAAAGATTTGGCAAATCGTTTGTCAAAGCTACATACAACAATGAAGGCATAATTAAAGGAAGCTCAAGAATGACAAAATATCAATGAAAATGCTTATTGCAAAAAATAAGTACAATTCAATAAGGGTGACAAGATATGATTACTTTGTTGCAATATTAGGACTACTTATGCTTATGACAAGTTGGACTATTGTACACTTGGACCTTATTCTATTTGTAAATAAGTCAATCCCATTGCTTATCAATTACATCTATTGGAATCTATGAAGATCCATCCTATATTACACATGTCTCTTCTTGAGCCATATAAGACAATGAATATCTTGAGAAGAAGATAAATGCTACCTCCTCTTATAGAAGTAGATAATAATCAAGACTTCAAGGTAGAAGAAGTCTTAGATTCAAAGCAACACCAAAATAGTTTAGAATATCTTGTTGATTGGTACAAATATGATATTAATAAATGCATATAGGAGCCAATAAAGAATCTTGCAAATATAGTAAAGAGGATTGATTCTTTTTATTGACAACATCCATATAAACTAAGATGAAAAATTATAAGATCCATGAAAGATGATGATTATTCTTTGTGGAATTTGTTTTTAAAAGGGGGGAGTAATGTCACAAACATACCCATTTACTCCAATAGTTACTTATATGATTAGATAGAAGTAGGTAAATATAGATTAATTCTATAATATCTTCTAAAAAAGCTTCTTAAAAGCTTTATAGATAGTATTTTGACTTTACACATATTTGTAGTTAATTGATAGGTTAGAAACTTGATAAAGAAGTTAACCATGTATCACACATATTGATAGCTTGTGAAATAAGCCAACTATATGGCTCACATATAAATAACATGCCTTGCAAATTAAGACGTATCTAGCAAAGTCAATACATATTGAAGGGCTTATACAAAATTGTCATGTAACTACTAGTTAGAGAGCATATATGGAAGTAAGAGTGAAGCCTTTTTCACTCTTGTTAATGCTTTTTTAGTCCTTAGTCTTGTTTGAAGACTTTTTAATCTTCTTATCTTTAGCAATAGCTATTCTAGTTTAATATATTACCATCTTTGAGTGATTTTTTAGTCTTTTAGAATGAAACAAGAGTGTATTGAGGATTTCTTTTTTTGAAATTCATATCCTTGATAAGAATTCTTTCCAAATTTAAGTAATGTAGAAAAATTCAAATCAATATAATTTAAATTTAACAAGAAAATATCCTATATATAATTTAAAATATATTTATTTGATAAGAAAGCATAATGTTAGAAAATAGTTACATCATTTGCTTCTTTGTGGAAAATTTTATTATCTATGATGTTTTAACAAATGACAAAAGATTTTACACAGTTGTTTTCAATATATACATGCAACAAATTATGTGTTAAGGTTTGATGTTTTTAATGTGATTTAAGGATTAGTTGTTATATATTAATAATCATCAATAACATTTGTAATGCTACTCACAACATCATTGTCTGTGAGTATAGTATTCCATGGAATCTACAAACTTATTATAGAAAACACTTTCAAAATAACATATGTGCACAATAAGTTTATTAGTCATAAGCAAGATCAATTTTAATCCTAAATTTTTTTCTATAGTTCATTTTGTCAACTCCACAAGCTCAATAGAAAGAAACAATGTACACCAACATATACATGCAATATTACCCTCTATCAGCATAATAAATCCATTTGCTACAACACATTTAGCAGAGTGCAAAATCAAATAAACAAGGAAAGGCAAGAACAACACTTACATGTGGTTTACATGAAATGCATTGATTAATGTCTACAAAGTTATTAAGAATGTTTTCCAAGGTACTTGAAACTGGATACTGTAGCAAACCTCTATGATCCTTTGTAATTCTAATTCAAAGCTTTATTTGCATTTGTCACTAGATTCAAGAGATGAATTATAATATCCCAAACAGCCAACCTGGTAGATTTAGACCTGTAATGCCACACATAGTGATTGCAATGGACTTAGGAGACTTTCAAGATGGCTTGTGATGTGCTTGATATAGCCACACAACATGGAATGCCCAAAGCCATGCTTGTAGTGGAATACAGCCAAGCATTGCAAAAGGATGTGCTTCTAGTGGAGTAGGACGAAGCAAGAAAAATTCAAAGACTTGTTGGAAGCCAAGACATAGAATAGATGTCATTGCTTTCAAATTCAGCCACCAATAAATATATCACAATCTCGAAATGTGCTGGATGTCAACCTGCAAAAGCCAAGTCTTTGATTTTGATAGCAACCACAAATGAGAATAGTTTACTCAGTGACTAGAATTTTGATCGTGAGGCTCCAAGAGCCCCATGGCTGCATACTCGGAGATAATATCCACAATCTATCTAATTCCGCTCACGTATCACTGCTTCCTCATAGGTGAGGCTTAAGCCAATTCATTTATAGCTGACGACACAATGGCTATGAGAAGTAGAGTGGAGAAATACCACTCCATAAAGTAAAACCTAAGTAGCTTCAGTAACGCCACCAACAACCAGGGTTAATCCGTACGGAGGAGACAGCCTTGATGTGATGAGACACAAGTCCATAAAACATCTCCCCTAATAAAAACAAATTGACACATTATCTTCTAGAATAATTACCACCTGAACCCCAACCATAGCCACCATCGTCATTGCCATTAGTTTGCAGCAGCTCCAGCACTGCCGTTACTACTGGTTTGCCTTCTCTGTGAATGTCAAACTGTGGATTTTTCACCTTCCGGTCAAGAAGCATATCAAGTTGACTCCGCAATTCCTGTTTTTCAGATGACATTAATAAATAATGAAATAACGCGAAGAAAAAATAAAAAGGGAAGGATAAATCACACACTTGACAAAAGGAGTTGAAATTATCTATAAACCAATCCTCGATACGCAGTCATGAGAGTGAATCCATGGTAATTTAGTAAGAAACGAATGAACTCACTCGAACCAACTGGAGTGTCTTTTTAGAAGCTTGAAATTGAAGGTATCCTCCTAGCATCTCAACGCTTTGCTCATTCTTGCTGACAGTTAGGTTCCCCCCAAACATGAGTAAGGCATAGTCGGAAACGTTGGTGGAATCTCGCACATAAATTGCAGAAGTCTTCACTTTCTCCCCGTAAACAAGCCATGGGCGTGGGAATGAATTAACCCGAGAATTCACAGAGGCTGGATGGGGTTCCACTTTGCCATCCTCCTTTGTAAAGAAGGCGGTTCGCTTGCCACGTGCCTTGCACTGGACGACGCTGGGAAACAGACCAGCACAAAGGACTGCTCTCACCATCTCCAGATCTTGACTGTACTGATTGTAAATCTGCAACAAATGTGATTCAATTTGGAACTCTTGAGAGAGGATATAAAAATATCCTCAGTGAATAAACTTCTTTTTTGAAATGTTAACGAATTCTTCACAACATGGTAAACTACAGTCAACAAATAATCCATTTTCAAGGTATGCCTTCAAAACTCTGAAAAGGAGCACCAATGATGGATGAATGGAAGGGATGCGGCGTACCTGGGTGCCTTTGGACTTATCGAAGAATCCAATGTCAGAGAGCAAGTCCTGGAATTGTCGGCGCATGTCGTCCATCATTTGCAGTGTATTTGAGGACAAGAAGTTCTCCCAACAAAAATTACGCTCTCTTCCTGCACGCTTTGCCTCCTGCCATCCTTCAAAAGCTTTCAGCAGTGCTACATGGTCACTGCGAAGCAACATAGTGATGGTTTTGTCAGAATTTCAAAAGGTCACTGTTCATCTTATCCTTCATCTCCATATTTTCAGGGTCATTCCGAACACACAATGATTACTGAGAAACACAGTTCTTGAAAGAACAATTATTAGGTTCAACTCAGGAGCATTAAGGATCTAACTCTGAACTCAATAATTAGATCAGGGTATGATTCGTCAATAACATGTTTCAATGACTAGACTATTACCTTCGAGAATCACCCGCAAAGTACCGTCGGGCCTCATCAGCTTCTTCCTTGTGTTCAAGGGGAAGGACAAAGGGATCCCGGTGAGCAAGACCTGCTGCAATGGTTAGAGCAGGTCCAAGACATTGGAAGACTGCACCCATAAGAAGCATCTTACCCACCTTGGGATCCACTGGAAGTTTTGCCAAATGACAACCTGTAAAAGCCAGATTCATCAATCTCAAAGACATATTGCGGATCAACCTTACTTTATCCACAAAACTTAGTGGCTCGATAAGCACCATTCAAATATGCCATAGCAAGCACAAAAAATATATAAATAAATAGATTTAAAAAAATCCTCCGAGCTTTAGGTACATATAACGAATAAAAAATGAACTAGGCAATTAGTATTTAGCATGCAACCAATATTTCTTCCTAGACTGTATATTCATGTCATAAACAACAAGGACACATTTGGAAAAACAATACTACGTCTCAAATCAAGAAACTTACCCAAGGGAGTCAAATCTTCCGCGTTACTCAGAGCACCAATTGTCTTCAGTAGGTCTATAGCGTTCTGTACCGCAAGAACTTCAGGTGGCTCCAAGGCCTTTGACAAGAAACTCGCAATATTGCCCAGCTGTAAGCTCTTTATCTGGAGACACAACTCTTGTAAGGGCGTCCGCAGTATCTCGGGAAGTTGATAACGGAGCATAGAATCATAGACCAACTTGGGGTACAAATGATAGCAAACACCAGGTTGGACTCGTCCAGCTCTTCCTCGTCTCTGTATCAGACGCAAACCTTTATAAGTAGGATGAAAGAACTAACAACCTTCCAAAAGATATATAAATCTTACATGTAGAATTGAGAAAACAAATTGAAAATATTGGCATTCACCCCGATCAGGAAGAAATCAATCTACACTGCAAACTTGCACACCTGATGTGCAGAGGCTTTTGAAATCCACGTTGGTGTTAAACACGCCAGTTTGTTAAGTGCGTCATAGCTTGTCTCCTTTGCCTTCCCACAATCAATCACGTAGACTACATCATCGATCGTAATACTAGTCTCGGCTATGTTGGTGGCCAGCACAATTTTCCTACAACCAGGAAGGTCAACAGCACTAGCATTAGACTCTGCTGATATCCCTGTATACTAGCATAGAAACTGTCCGTTTTATTAGTGTTCAACTAGAGAAATAAAGATGCTCTCTTGTGCCTGGAAAAGATTGTCGATATGGCATCATAAGATAGGGTGTTAGCATGAACGCATATCACGATAACAAGACCCATATTTGACTACCGCCCTCAAGCGAATTAATAGAATTGCCATGAGAAACTCAACACGGATTTAATAATGGACATAGAGTTCCAACCATTGCTTATTATGATCAATAGTTTCCTACGAGTTAAATAAAATAACAAATTAATTTAATTGATGAACCATTGAAGTAAGATCCACTTAAATTGCGGCCAAAGAAGGGCGCATACCGGACACCAACTGAGGGCCTCTGAAAAATCTCTCGTTGATTGATGGTGGGCATGGACCCATGCAGAGGCAGTATGAGAAACCGTCTAGAATCATTAAATAAGGAATTTCCCTTGAGACGCTCCACCAGCTTCGAAATCTCATCCCACCCTGTCAAGAACACAAGGATTGCACCGTCCTCCTCTTTCACGCAGATATGTTGCAGTGCTGCCTCTACCTGCAATCACCAAGGAAGAACTTGTGGTTAACGAATATGCCCATCAAACTAACATTTAGCAGGTATACAAGGCAAGCTTCTCTAATAGAAACCACAAAGTGAGCAACAAGATTCCAAACATCACTCACAACTTCAAAAGCTATTAAAGAGAACAAGGATGTGCATGGTTTTTTATGCTGAAAAGCGAATACGCACCAATCCAATATCAATTTGTTCTCCATTCCAGGCTTGTAGTGATTGCTGTGTGCCACGACTGTAGTTGCGATACGCCGACTCTATGTTGACTCCCTGTGTAGTAAAAAGATTTAAGGCAAGAAGACCAGCCCACACTTGATATCCATGATGATTTAAAAACAAACAAACATAACACAACATAATAAAAACGGAAAAATGTGCACTTTGGTGACAGATTTACCTCAAAAGCTTCAAGCACAGGATCTTGCACCTTCTCCTGGGTCTTTCGTCGTCTACCTCCTCCACCACCATTGTAACCTCCTTGATCAGAACCTACAGGAAAGCGAGTAAGCTCTAGCACATCCTCCAAGAATAGCTCTTTCACTGGATACGTGAACCCCTGCATATATTTAGAACCCTTCAGTAAACAACCTCAATTCAAGATAAAAGTTCTATAGAAGATAAGATTAGTAAGTCTTCAATGCAAACAGTGTAGAGTTTTTCACTGAGATTTGTCTTAGCTAAAGACAAACGCCTGAAACAAATCAACGCACGCTCAAGAAAGATATACAAGCTAAAAATCCAGTCCAGGAAATGCCAGAAAACCATGCTGCTGAATACCTAGATAAGAGATTTGTTTTCCAAAAAGAGGAGGCTTACAGGAATGTGCTTCATCGGTGCACCTCCGAAATATCTAGAAAATAGTTCTGCGTTAATGGTCGCACTCATCAAAACCAATCGCAGGTCAGGGCGACGAGGTAGCAGATCTCGTAAAATGATCAATAAGAAATCTTCATTCATGCCGCGTTCATGAATTTCGTCAACCATGACATGACTCACACCATTCAAGTCAGGCTCTTGGACCTATGCAACCCCACATGCCAACAAGTTAGTACTGGCAAATGACGAAGTGGTTCCTACCTACCATTGATCTTCTGCACTGCAAATTTCTGCCAAGTACTAGACAATCATACAATGAAAAAGAATCTCCAAGTTCGTAATATAAGGCACAGAACGTACAAGCCGTCGAAGCAGCACACCAGTGGTGCAAAACAAAAGACGAGTCTCTGCAGATCGTTTAGCTTCCAGACGGATCTGGTAACCAACGCTTTGGCCCAAAGCATCCCCCCTCTCCGCTGCAACACGGGCAGCCACCGACATAGCAGAAATACGACGAGGTTGGGTACAAATAATATTGCATTCAGAACCTCGGCAATTCTCTATCTCCTCCTCTAGCACGAATTGTGGTAATTGGGTGGTCTTTCCACAACCTGTCTCTCCAGAGACTACAACTACCTGTCCATAGCCAGTCATAAGAGACATAAATTAGCAGCCCTCAATACGGCAATAATTGTATGGTGTCAATGTCTTCTGAAAGAAGATCAGCGGGACATGGCGGCAGCGCGTGAAACCTGATTATTTTTCACAGCTTCTAAGAGTTCCGTCTTCATCTGAAATGCAGGTAATTTCTTTCGAAACACTTCCAACGCCTTCACTGGTCCACTTGCCTGTTGACATCGAAAACGAGTAATTAAGGTTAATAACTCAAACCAGGAGGAGCGGGGTAGCTGGATTAGGAGAACACGTGCCCTAGTACATGGCATACAGCCTCCAAGACAATAATGATAAATAAATAAATAAATAAATAAAACTTGTAACAACTAAATAAAACAACCCTACTAGGCCAAACTGCAAATTTGAACAGGAATGCTGAGTGAAGGCTGTGCCAAAATTTTAAACCACAACCTTCAGTTGTCGCTGATTCTCTCTCAGCTCCATATTCAACTTGTCCTTATCTACTCCCAATGTCTGACCTTGAGGAGTTGCTTGTCCCCAGCTGGATCGGGGCAGAGTAGCCTTATCCGCTGCATTTCCTTTCGAGATTTGGGGTGAAGACGATGATGATGGCTCAGCACCACGAATGTTAGCCAGCATGTTTTCCACCCGAGTCTCAGTCGTAGCAGACATTGAAATCTGTAGATTACGGCACCAGAAAAAATGTAAATTATTGCACAAAATAGTAATTTATTTAATCACATCACAAGTAGAGATCACTACTTACAAGAACTGGTCAGTAGAAATGCAATGACTTTGATTCACTTCTAAAAATCTATGAATCTGGGCTTCATAAAACGAAGCAAAATATTTCGTATTTTGAGGGCCATTAAAATGTGAGCTCCGTAAAACAATTATCAAATAGTTCAGCTGTTTTCGTACCACAAAATTATTGGTTGCACCCCAGACAATTAATCTAATGCGTAAACAGAGATATGAAGTAAGTGAGACAGAAAAGTAAAGTAAGACAAACCTGACGCTGAGAGGAACCATGACGATCGTCCAAATCGGCCCGATAATTCGGCAAAGGCACTCGGCTCACAACCAACACTGTGTTTCTCCCTTTATTGTAAGCGTGACTTCCTTACCAACAATTCCCACCAAGCTCACCTTCAAGACAATGCACAAAATTGCCCTCAACAGGAGGTAGAAACTAAACATCTTAGGTTCAAAAAACCGCAACTTCCCTCGCATCAACGTAAAGGCTCCCTTCAATGTCATATGCCCCTCTAACGAAACCATCACAGTTTAAGTCGATAATTTCGGAGCTTTGAACTCTTTTTCTATACCGCTAATTTTAATTTAAAGAAATGAAAAAAGAGATTAAAAACTAGAGTAAAAAAAAAAAAAAAAAAAAAAAAAAAAAATCTTCTTGAGACAAGTTCCACTAGTGGATCCTATGTGCACATAATCTTCTTACAAATTGTGGAATTTGTCTTAATTCAAGTGATGGAACTACCCGTGTCCGCTCATACTAATTTCAAGGAGCGTTGCGTTGCCCACGCAGGCTATTTTGAAAAAGACACCTCCTTATTTCGAGACTACGATCGACTACCGTAGACCACCTCGGAGCAATTAAGAATCTTCAAACCCAAATTTGAAACCAAAAAGGTTATCAAAAATAGTCCATTTGTCCATCCATAAACTTCCGAGTGATTTTATGGCATAAACCCGTAGCCGTAGATATCTAAGACATCTCATACACAAACACTTGATTTGGATATAACTTCGTTCTGTGAGGTTTACAAAACTTACAAGTGAAGACCAAGCCTGAGAGCAAAATCTTCCAGAATTTCGGCACCACTGCGACCAAAATTCCGCTTGACCACTACCTCTTGCTGGTCCGGAGAAACTTTTAATTTTTCCAGCCTATCCCACCACTCATTCTCATCCAAAACCTCCTCCTTTGGACCCTGTACACATGAGACGGCCAAATGAGAACATGATGGAAAGGTGCATACACAATAAAGACCTTCTCTTAAACAAATTTACAATGTGATCAAAATAGAAAAAACTATTATAAAAAATAAAAAAATAAAAAATAAAAAAAACTATTAAAAACTATTAAAAAAAACTAAACATCACACAATTTCCAGGAACTAAAACCCTAAAAACTCAACTCATTGGATACTCTGATCACGTTGTTACGTACGAATCCTACGAGAAATTAAGAATTAGTGTGTCTACCTCCCCTTGCATCTGCTTCAGCTTCTCAGCTCTCCACGCAGGATCCCACCATCGCTGTCCACCACCTCCACCTCCCCGACCACCTCCTCCTCCTCCTCCGCGACCACCTCCGCCTCCGCGACCACCACCTCTACCTCCCCTACCCCGCCCTTGCGAGTTGGGACCGCCCGGCATTGCTACCACTACTCCTCTTCTACGCGAACTCCAAGTCGATGCGTGCCACACACCTCTGCACCAAATCCAGCACCCCTCTCTCTTTCGCTTAATACACCAACCATTACACCACAGTCTACAACTCGGAATCTCACACAACCTCCACAAAATCACAGCATAAAAACAAAAAAACTCCATGACTCCAACATCAATCGCTCTACTACAAAAACCCCAATCCCGAAAAAAGACTCACATGAACACATGTGGACATAGAAACAGCAAAACCCTAAACCACACCAAATACCCACCTACTCGTGCAGACCAGCAGCTGATGAGAGAGATCAGGCGCAGCACGAAGAGAGATTGAAGGGCAGAGAAGGTGGCGAGCGAGAACTTGAGCGAAGAGCTGCAACAACTTCGCAACTCTCAAGTCACAAGTGCAAACGGCGACGACATGGAGGAGTTGGCCTTTGGCTCTGCAGCTCACAAAGCTCTTGCGCCACAACATAAACTTCTCCGTCCCTCTGTTTGTGAGCCTATGTGTCCATATGAATGCGGATATATGTAACTCGGTTAGAATTTGGCTATGCCTATGTCAATGTGAATGAGGACTTCTGAATGTCAGTGTGAATGCGGATACATGTAACTCGGTTAGAATTTGGCTATGCCTATGTCAATGTGAATGAGGACTTCTGAATGTCAGTGTGAATGCGGATACATGTAACTCGGTTAGAATTTGGCTACCCCTATTTCAGTGTGAACGAGGAGATCTGAATGTCCGTGTGAATGTCGCTGTCGATGCTTTCGCTTACGTGGCAATGGCCTAGCCCTTACGCCTTTGTAGTCAGGGGAGGCATAAACTACATAATCAGGCAATTAAATCTATTTTAATAAATTATTTTTTACATTTTACATTAAAAAAAATGTCAAGCCACCACAATATATATAGTTATATATACACACAAAACTGCTTGTATCAATTTATTTATTTATTGTTGAGACTTTAATTATCAGTTTTGAAGGCTATTGTATTTTATCTCTCAGCTACTCTAATTTTAATTCCAATAACTTGTATTCTTTCAATAAAATATTTAGTAAATGTACAAATAATGAGGTCCAAGTCTACAGAAGTCAGAGATTGGTTCTTAAAATACATATATTGATGATAAAATGAGCATTATATACATGTAAGGAAATTTAAAGTTCTAATAGTGTTTATAGCAACATATTGGATACATGGGTGCATCAAAATAATAATAATGATAATAATAATAATAAGAAGAAGAAGAAGAAGAAGAAGAAGACGAAGGAGGAACATGTTATTATAGAAGAGCTTTAAATCTAACATCAACTTAAAAATAATGTAGAGAATCATTCAAAACAAAACATGACAAGGATTAATAATTTTGTTCAAAATTTGTATCAAAATAAAGCAACTGAAGGTCAATGTGAAGCTGTTTCTAGATGTGTGACCACATTTCTTATTTTATTTAAGTTAATATCATATTTGCCTTTGAGTATTTAGAAAAATTGTTTGATTGATTTGGTTTTTTTTATTGGTTTTTGTTTATATGCATTTTTAAAATCCACCACCAAGCCCTTCTAATGTAGGATATTGTTCTATTTGTTCTACATTAAGTAATATAAGACACAAAACTAATACTTAAAAAGGACATGTAAAGCATTAGTAGACATCATTGTTCAGTCAAAATAGAGTAAAGTAAAGATTATTTTCTTGTAAAGTAAAGTAAATGATATTGTTGGTGTGTAACACTCTCTCCAATAAGAAATCTTTTAGACCACATTTAATGCTGGCCATTTCATAACTTCTGTCTTTACATAGAACATTTTTTTTATTTTTTTTTATTTCATATTTAATGCCCTACATTAGAAGGAACTATTCATTGTTTATTACATATACAAAGTTATCTCAAATTCTTGATAATGTATGCATAAAAATATCATAAAGTAGTATGTGTGTGTGTATATATATATTCTTTTGAAATAAGACATGTATTTTTTAAATGTGTTGCAAGGTTGTTTCAATTGATGTTAATTGGGCTCTGAAGATTTCATGAAAGTTGTTAATCAGGACCCAAACAGATCTTCATGTCATTTATTTTGAAGCTTGTTTTTTAGAAAAAAAAAAAGGGAAAAGGAATATATATATATATATATATATATATATATACACACACACACATATATACATACAATTGTTTTAAAGCTTTCAAACAGACCAAGAATTATCAAATACTACCACTACTGTAGGAATTTAAGTTAGGAAATATCATATAGGTACAAAATAAATGTAACTGAATTTATGTTAAAATTTTATTTGTGTATAAAAAATAAAAATAAAATATCAAATCAATATACCAAAAAACGGATCTTGCTTATATAAAAGAATACTTTTATGTTAAATATTATTTTAAGAAATTGCAATATTGCTTAAGCATACACAATATCAAAATCTGCACGTATTGAACATTTTTTAAGTGTTTTATTTGGGTAGATTCAATAACAAGTGTGAAATTATTAAAGTTTCATTAGACACTAATCCTCATAAATGTAAACTTGTCCACAAACTAGGGCTACACAACATTTTTTTCAATGTGGTTGAGGTAGCAAGAGGAATGTCAAGTATTGGGTATAAGAAAGTCTAATAACTAATGTGAAAGTTGAGAGAGATCTGAAGGAAAAATGATTAAATAGTTTACAAAGAATTTGGAGGCATAGGATTTGTTTGTTCAAATGAAATAAAAAATAATTATAAATAAATAAATAAACCAAGCTTATATATCCAATAATAAGTTGTGACCATCTCAAGAATGGCATGATGCATTATGTGTTGGACATATGGGAGAGAAGACAACTTTGGTATTTGTTTTAAGAATGTGCTATTTGTTGAGTAAAAAAATCAGTGCACTCCACCTTTCAAAGATTTGTTTTGAAATAATTGATTTGATACAATCTTATATAATTCAATAAAACCATGGTATAATTTTTTTTAATTGATTATTATTTTTTGTTTTTCTAAAATTCGTGATTGAGAGACAAGGTTTAATAACAATTGATTACTTGAAAAAGTTGGCACATATGGTAAGACTTTGAGTAAATATTTTTGAATTAAAAAGAAAAAAAGAAAAAAAGAAAATCAATACATGATAGAATTTCAATTTCTTCAATATATGTTAGATATTGTATTTAGTTGGAATTCTAACATATTAATATAAAATATAATTAACATATATTTATAAATTGAATGAGTGGAAATTAAAAGAGAAATTGATGCAAAAAACATTCTTAAAACAAGAGAATACACAAAGAAAATATTGAATTTTAATTTTTAGATTTATTCACGTGTGCATTATCAAAGTAATTGTTTTTCATATTCTATATACCAAAAACTTTTATGTATATATATATATATATATTTATATATCAGTGACACATAAAAAAATGAAAAAAAAAATCATGAAACTACTCACTGTGTTTTTAAAGATATGTGTAACCTACACATTATCCTAAACTACTTTTAAGCCTATGTTAGGGATTGTGAGACAATTCACAAAACAAGGGTAAATAAGAAAGGAAATTCCTTGTAAGGAAGAACTTTAAGTTTTTCTGAAAATTATCAATAAAAAATAAACATGTGACTACTAATAGGATCTGTCGGATAAATACCCTTAATATATTTGGTAAAAGTATTATTATCATATTCTTAAAATTTAATTTCATTTAGTAACAAATAGTTTTTTTTATTCATAAGACTACTATTTACTATGTTTACATTTAATATTATTATAATTATAAAACATCTATTGTAGCATTTCTTTTATAAATTTTTAATTGATGAAATGGACTTTTTTTTTCTCTCTCTCTTATTTTTATTTTTATTTTTAAATCTGCTTTGAAAATTGACGTATGAATATATATTAAAAGAAACAATTTTCACAAGAATGAAATACTTAAACTAGCTGTTTTAAAACATTGACATACTAAATATTTAATAATAACTTTAAGTTTTATTTTTAAAACATATCTTTAATGAATTGATAATTAATATAATAAAATTTGCTAAATAATTTCACTTATATACACATTACACGGATCCAAAGTTAATATGTACCTGATGCTATAATTTTAGAATGTACCTTACCTTATCTTATTTTGAATTATGTATGTATATATATTATGTATATATATATATATATATATATATGTATACACACACACACGCACAAAATATACGTGCATCAGATTCTATATTCAGTAGAGTTTTATAAACATTGAAATGAAAATATTTATTTTGCAGAGTAAAAATTCAACGTTTTTTTTCGTGTGATCATGATAAATTAATCTTATATTTCATTCACGTGTAAAAAATCTGTGAATAATTGAATGCATCTGCAGTACAGATGTACAGCCCAAAAAAAGTAAAAAAACAAAACAAAACGAAACAAACAAACAAAATAAAACAAAACAAAATATCACGAGGTTCCATACATTTTAATGAATCAAGCAGCACTCTTTGTATAAATGGAATTGTTTATAATTTCAGAAAAAGAAAAAGAGAGAGTTTAGAAATAAATAATAAAAGAAAGTAAACACATAATTAATCACCAACATCTAAAAATGACTTATAAAATTAACCACCAAAATTAAATAGAACTACAAATAACCCCGTGAAACTGAAACTCAGGGGTGAGGCGGAGTGCTGCGTGAAAGGGAACCGACACGAAGAGGTGGAAAGAAACGCATCGAGAAGGGAAGAAAGTACCGAGGAGAAAGAAAAGCGTCGAGAAGTGTGGGGAAGAATCAAGGAGGACGGAAAGGGAATCTTGAGTGGACGCGGTCTCCGGTGCCCGCGTGGGACAGGGTCTGCCAGATCATGTTTGCCAGTCAACTAAGCTTCTCCAAGTGGCTAACTCGCCGCAGCTATGGCGAGCGACTGAGCGAGGCGCTTCTTCTTCTTCTTCTTCTTCATCTTCATCTTCGTCATCGTCTCAAAGTCGTGTTCGCATTGCCTTCCGCAGTTTCAGATCCCTCTTCAAAGTAGTACACTCAAGCTATGAGGCAGACCGGAGGATCTCTACTCTGTCTTCGCCGCGCACATTTGTTTCCCGGATAGGAGAACAGGTGAATGTTGATCTGGTTACTGGAGTTTGTGTCTCTCTTGTGCTTGTGGGAGGGTTGAGTGTGTTTGCAATCTGTCCAATCTTAGGTTGAGTTTTGGATTTTAGATCTGCTTGGAGTATCCTTAGTTCTTTTTTGAAAGTTTAAAAAGAATCTCTTCTTCTATTTTTTGTTTTTTTATGACGAGGTTGTTGCAAATTTGAGGTTAGCAGCTGTGCTTCGCGTGAATTTTGGTTTCTTGTTTTTGCACGGTACTTAAATTTTAGATCGCTCTAGGTTGTTCTGGTGTCACTATTTGATTTGAAGAGTACCGGAGTAACAATTTATGGTTTGATCAGCTTTTGTATTGGTATGCTTTCTTGTTGCGCGTTGGTTTAACGAGTATAGCTGCCTTAAGGTTTGAACTGCGCAGCCCTCTGTTTTCTGGTATAGTTTCTGTGGTAGCAGGGTATATAATCTTCTGTAATTAAAGTGGAGTAAGCTTGCCATTGAGTATTTTATTAGTATGTTTTCCTCTTCTCTAGCTCGTAGAAGATCTTGATTCCAGCATTGTAACGTAATGGCACGCATGTAGCTAGTTTATTAGTTGTTCGTCTTAATTTTCCCAGAGAATTCATTCCGGGGAAAAAGTTCGATAATGTTGTAGTAAGTCTTTTGTTGGAGCTCACCTGGGAATGTGTCTGTTCTTTAAAAAAATGTAGCAAAGTGGTAGAATCTAAGAATGTATCCAACTACCTTTAGAAGAAATAAGTCAATAATTCTCGCTAGTTGATGAATGACTAGTAATTGCTACCCGATTTCTAGTTGGAAGATCGTACGGCAGTCTTTATTTGTACGATAGTGGTTGACTACTAGAGAGCCCCCACATGACAGGGCCTCTCCACTTGATGACTATTACATCTGTACTTGCATGACCTAATCAATGCTTCGAGGCGGATGTCAGATGGTTTTTTAGGGGGGCGATCATATGATGTCTTTGCTTTCTAACAAGAGAAGATTCTGTTTTGTGATATGCATTTATCATCAACAATTTGGGCAAGGGCCGATCGATAAGCGAAAATTAATGCATTAAAAATATTGCAGGGGGCTTGGTTTTCCCCATACCGCTCAATGTCGTGTAGTTTTTAAATCTCGGGTTCAACGGCAAGAATTGTAGCATCACTCATGTTGCTGGTATGTGTGGCATGACGTTGTGTGGCTAGTTTAAGCATTGCCTGCTTCTAATTTTTGCTACCATCTCTTCATTCTGAAAAGAGAAATTTCAATATTTTAGTTCATTTGCTTTGGATGATTTCATGGTAAATATAGGTGTAGTAATCGTTTTTGAATACTGCATGTGTTTGGTAATCTAATTTTGCCTCTTGACCTGTGTTTATTTCCGATGACTCGTACCCTACTCAATCTTCAAGAATGTATTTCGGGACGACAGTTTAACCCTGGACTCGACAACTACTTATTTGATTATTTGTTTAATTCCACAAGTTTTAGGACCTTAGGCCGAAATAGGCTCCAATAAGAGCACGTTCTGATGCCCACAGACAGGCTGGAGGCAGCGTCGCACACTTATTTCTCGAAGACTGAGATGTATACATGTTTCAATTATTAAGAAGAGTTACTGTCCAAATTTTATGTATGGTTTGTTAGTACAGTTTAATTCTTATGCCCTAGCCTTTGGTTGCGTTTAAGCTATCCAAGCATTTCTACGTGTGAAAATTTTACATACAATTTTGAAAGCAGCTTCTCCTTAGCTACGATTTATGTCAACATGTGTGGTTGCTCATTTGAACATCTAAATGGTAGAAACTACTGACTTCAGTGTCCTTATTCTATCTAAACATAGGTGTGTCAATTTTATGATGACAGTTTGATAACTTTGTGATGCCTTTTGTCATTCCTCTGCATCGAACTTCATAAATCGCCATCACTTGCGCGATGTAAGTCGCGCCGGGACTAGGAAGAGGGGGAGGAGGTCCGGGACTCGCGACGGGACTAGGAAGTGGGGGAGGAGGTCCGGGACTCGCGACGGGACTAGGAAGTGGGGGAGGAGGTCCGGGACTCGAGCCGGGACTAGGAAGAGGGGGAGGAGGTCCGGGACTCGCGACGGGACTAGGAAGTGGGGGAGGAGGTCCGGGACTCGCGCCGGGACTAGGAAGAGGGGGAGGAGGTCAGTAAGTTGGTGCTGAAATCTGTACTGAACACAATTGTTATGACATTAGGCGGCAGCTGGCGATGCCGGATGGAACAGCGTGGTGAGAAAAGGATTAAAGAAGGCGGACGGTGAGCATATATACCTACCTGGGCTAGCTTATTGTGGCAAATCCATGTGGGATGTGTATTGACCATTCGACCATTGCAAGGGAGAGTTCAAACATCTCTTACAGGGGCGTAATTGTTTAATTAACGCTTCTACATATTAGAGTGCATATATCAAAATGCTTGGGAACAGACTTCTGTGGGCTGTGGCCAGATCCTGCTTGCAAAGACCTACGTATTCTCTTCATAAAATTACTACCCCCCACACATGCAAGGATGTGCTATTCAAGAGAAGGTGTTTCAGCTCGGGTGCTGGAGCAGAATCTTCGTCCCCGTTGCAGAAAGAAGGTCAAAGTGGAGCCCTTTACAGATTTTTGATTTATGGGAAAGAAAAGGTTCACGGAAAGTCTTACCTTCTGGCAATAGCTGCTACTGGTTGTTTGGGAGCTGGTCTTCTTGTCGCGCTTGCTGATGCAGGCCGTGATAGCACCCGTTCGGATTCCGATGAAGCTGTGTCTCCAGAAGGTTCGGGGAAAAAGAAAGTTGTGATTCTCGGCACAGGATGGGGGGGCATCAGTTTTCTTAAAAGCCTAGACGCATCCAAGTATGATGTGCGAGTTGTTTCTCCTCGCAATTATTTTGTATTTACCCCTTTGCTGCCAAGTGTCACATCTGGTACTGTGGAGGCTCGGAGTATCACAGAACCGATTCGAAGGATTATACGGAAAAAAGATGTGAAATTCCATGAAGCTGAGTGCACGAAAATTGACGAGGCGAACAAGAAGGTCATGTGTAGAGATATCTCCGATGTAAAGTGTAAAGGAAAGGAGGATTTCGAGCTCGAATACGACTATTTAGTTGTGGCTGTTGGAGCTACTTCTAATACATTTGGTACAAAGGGTGTTGAGGAATACTGTCATTTTTTGAAAGAGATTGAAGATGCTGAGAAGATACGTGGACGAATTGTTGATTGCTTTGAGACGGCAAGTCTACCACACCTCTCAGACGAGGACAGGTCAGCTTCTTTCCATCTATTACTAGGTTATGTTCTCTTGTTTCTTCCTTGAGCCAAACAACTCTTTCCCTCTTGTCCTCATGGTACTTGAAGGGAGCAGGCTTTTGATCTTAGTTTTTATTTAACTGAAAACCGTCTCTGGTTTCTGTTGAACGGTGAAATGTGCCAACAAAATGCAGTGTTCCAAGAAGCAAACATTGTTTAGCTGCTTTACTCTGGCATCCTTGACGTTGTTGCTTTGTCAACATCGAGGTTGTTCAAATATCCCTTGCTCTTCTTGAACGTTTCCTTTGAAGCTGACCCATTTGAAATGTATTATCAGGCGAAAGCTTCTCAGCTTTGTGATAGTGGGTGGAGGCCCTACAGGAGTAGAATACGCTGCCGAGCTTCACGACCTCATTTATGAAGATCTAACTAGTTTATACCCAGAATTGCAGAAGATCGTCAACATAACCCTTGTTCAATCGGGTGACCATATACTCAACACGTTCGACGGGCGTATAAGTGAATATGCAGAAAAGAAGTTCTCTAGAGAAGGGATTGATGTGAAAATTGGGAGCCGAGTTTTGGGTGTTACTGAAGAAACCATTTCCTTTAAGTCGAAAGCAACCGGCAAGCTTATGGAGATCCCTTATGGCATGATTGTTTGGTCAACAGGTACTACTAGTGTTTGAGATTGGTTTCGAGTTAATAATCTAATTAACCTGGGTTAATATCATTCTGGAAAAAGACATACTAGACAAGCTAGAATGCTGTTATACATTCTGCCTCTTTTCATCATGGGTGAGAATTGTTGGGGTCCAGTGGAGAATAGCTCTTGTAAACACTGTCTTGGATAATCCTGGAGGCAAGTGTTAGAAATTGTTGTGTTTGAATGAAATGTTTCCATGCAAGGTTAATGGGCTTATTTCAGAAGTCTTCCTAAAACTATTGTAATTGGTGCTACTTGCATTTGTGCCTTGTTTTTTTTCCTGCAAGGATGTCTAACTCTAGGTCATTATTTTGACATCCAAATTTTCCCGTTGTTGAAATTGAAGGAGCGTGGGATGTGTGAGTGACTTATCCTTTTTATTTGTATTGCAGGAATTGGCACTCGTCCGGTGATCGCTGACTATATGAAGCAGATTGGGCAAACCGATCGTAGGGTATTAGCTACAGATGAATGGCTTCGAGTAAAAAATACCGACGGAGTCTATGCTCTTGGCGATTGTGCCACAGTTGAACAACGTAAAATTGCTGAGGATATTGCGGACCTATTTAAGTTGGCGGACAAGGATGGTGACGGTTACTTGTCTGTTTCGGAATTTGTTGATACGATGGACAATGTCAGAATGCGCTATCCCCAAATTGATCTTTATATGGAGCGGCAGCATATGGAAGGGGTAGTTGGACTCCTGAATGATGCCTTGAAGAAAGAGAAAAATGTTAAGCTCGATCTTGAACATTTTAGCGAGGCGATCTGTAAGGTTAGTACTTCTCAATCTTGAAATATACATCTTGCTCAGCAGATGGGCACAACTCGAATGTTGAGAGATTTTTTTACTTTGTAAATTTAATTATTTAATAATTTACTTTGATTCCTGGCTTCATCTCTAATGTCGATTTTAATGGTATCTGTAATCTTCAGGTCGACTCTCAGATGAAATCTGGACCAGCCACAGCTCAGGTTGCTGCTCAACAAGGCGAATATCTTGCTCTCTCTTTCAATCATATGGCTATGGGAAGTCCTGATGAGGGCCCCATCCGCGTTAGGGGAGGTGGTCGTCATCGTTACCATCCTTTTCGTTATCGGCATTTAGGCCAATTTGCTCCTTTGGGAGGTGAAACAACTGCAGCTGAACTACCTGGAGATTGGGTTTCCATCGGTCGAAGCACGCAGTGGTTATGGTACTCTGTATATGCCAGCAAACAGGTGAGCTGGCGTACTCGTGCGCTTGTGATATTTGATTGGACCAAGCGATTTGTATTTGGGCGAGATTCTTCTCGGATGTGATACTTCTTCTGTACTTTGGGAAAGGAAATGTAATATGATGGAGTAGAGAATCGGTTAGAGCTATGAAAAAAATTAGCTCAGCTTATCATGGTCTTTACTTTGGATTGAATCGCTCTTGTACTCTCATGAAATCAACTTGCAGTTCGTCTATCACCCAGAGTATCATTTGCAATGACCTGCTTCTATCTAGGATTACTGTTTCTTCATCATGTCATTTGTATTTGCTTGTGTCTGCTATCAGCATTAGTATGGACGCCAAATCGTTTCGTTAGGTTTATAGTTCAATCACCCATATTTTTGAAGACGTAGATGAGTCCATCCTGCAACAGAGAATACGTAACGATGAAGACCTCACACAAGGGTTGCAGAGAACTAAAACCAGTTGTACATACCAAGATTTCAAGCATTACTTCTGCAAACAGCAAGGCAGGGTTTAAGTCGTGATGATCTGAGCAAATTATTATTAATAATATTAGAACGATATTATTAATAATAAGCTTACTCTACATGTCTTTTCTTCTGCCTGCTTGTTCATGGCCTGCAGTAGCTCCCATGCTATTATCCCATACCTTGCAAATGCCTCTGCAAGTAACTGGCATGCAGCATGAGAATGTTGTCTGAAGAATTTTTTCACTTTCAATGTCTTCATGACCTTGTGTTTCAACAATTGACTGCAGGCTTTGTTTCCTGGTGTGTCAAAGTTTGATGATGAGATTTCTGGTTTTTTGTTTTTTGTTTGTGCTGTTACATGTGACTTGGGGAACTGGAAGAGCACAATGGGGGTCATAGCTTCAAAGTGCTAAATCTAGTTGTGTAAAGCCTCAAGAAAATCTAGTTAGTTGTCTGAAACCCAGTAATGCTACCAACAAGAAACAAGGTTTAGACTTTGACCCCATTCTTGCATGCAATTGTTGTACTGTGCAATTCTCTGGTCTCCCATGCCTTTTTCTATTCAGGTCAAATTAGCTTCTCTGACACATTTAACTGATGCATAGCATCTTCTCAGAAGGCCCAAAATGACTGAAGGTTTAGCCAACTACAAGCAATTCGCTATGGAGGCTCTGTGCCTCAAACTCAGCTGAGCCGTGTGGGTACTCTACCTCAGATTTCCTTTTCTGTTTTCTTTAGACCTTTTGGGTCATTAGCATTGATGATAAACCTACAAGTTACTTAGCATGCTGGATGCAGGACTGGGAGCATGTAGGGAGTGACCCAAGCTGTGAAGGAGAGGCAGCCTCCTTTTTCTTTTCTTTTCTTTTTTCTTCTATCTTGACAAAAAAAGATGATAATAATAATAATAATAATAATAATAATCTACACAAGCCCCAGCACCTAATCATTTCAAGTGTAAAGGGAGTGGTGTGAGATTCTGCTAGTAGGTATGCCCCTGCTTCCATCACAATAGTGTGTGAGGGCACGCTCCAAGCTCACACAATAAACATAGGGCAGCCACTCTTATAGCAAAACAAAATAAGTGTGAGAGACTCTGCTAATCATCCCAATCTTTGTCACACCAAAACTCAATGGGTGTAATGTTCTTTTCCTTGAACCCTTTGAAAACCCTAATCTGTGTTGAGGGTGTCTCAAAGAGCTTTTTCAGGAACAGAAATGGGTTGGTCTCCCATGTTCTGCAAGTCAGAGTTTCCAAGCTCCTGGATGCAAAGCAAGTCTGACCTATCTGTATTGACAACCCTCTGCTTGAGGAAATCTCTTCTTTGGGCATCAGTTCATGATTCAAGGAGCTTCAAGGAGGGGGAGTTGTGAGTATGTCAGTTGTGAATTGATTTGATACCTTTGGTCCAATGTATTGCGTGGGTCACCCAAAACAGACATGAAAAAATAAATCCCCTGCAAATATTGGTTCTCTATATACAGTACAGATAAAGAATGTTCCAAAGACACAAAGGTACTTCTTTGGTTGTTTTTATTTTTATTCCTTACTAAGAAAAAAAACAGGGATATTGGAATATTTTTATAGCACCCAGTGTTAATCAAAAGTGGTTGTAGTGAGACTGAATTTATGGCAGAAGAGGTGAGGTTTCATTTCAAGCCATCTGTTCTTTATACCAACATGGGCAGCTGAGAGTGAAGAATGTGGATGTATGGCTCATATTCAGGTGGTGAATGAAAGTGGAGCTTCATTGTGTGGTGGCTGCCCAGTCCCCAAGGTCAACAGCAGGATGCAAGGTGGGAAGAAAAGAAACAAGTAGGCACGGGAATCAAGCCACAAAGCAAGAGATTCTAATGGACAAAGAGGAACAAACATGACCAGAGTCACTTCAATAATTGTTGAGCACTCTTCAATATATCTGCTGTATTTTTATTTTTATTTTCTTGCATATGTTTCATGGGAACAGGCAACCATTCACAACCTCCTTTCGCTGAGGGCCCTATGTTGTGAGAGGGTTCATTCATTTGTTGAAAATGGCTTACTTGAAGGCATGACCAAAAAAAAGAAATTCAACTCTCTGAGACCACAGGTGGGTATACATATGTATACAATTGAGTGAGGAGAAATGCAAAGTTCTCACTGCCAAAAAATCTCACACATATTTGTCAGTTTCTGGGTTACAGCCAAAAGAAAGCAGAATGACCACATGTTACTAGTAATAATTTGCATGTGGAGAGTAGTTAGATCTAAGAGGAGCACTAGGTCCAATATATACAACAAAATTGGCTTTGAACAAAAGAAACATTCCTTCACAAGAGGATGGTTTCAGTGACATACATTTCACAAATCTAGAATGAAAGAAGAGTAAGTCCCAAACAAAACTTCTCATTCACATACATATTTATTACATGGACTGAGGTCTTTCATTCATGCAAATGTGTGCTTCACAAAGCAAACCAACAAGATGAAGAAACATGCCAAATTGATTTACCATCCATTTTCTGCTGTGCATTGATCTGATTACAAGCAAATGTGGGTGGTTGTTTTTTTTATAAAAAAATTTAGCCTGATACAGCTTCATATATTTAATAGTGGAAAACCCTCCTTTGATGTTGGGTGGATTCATTACAAAATCCTCTCTCTTTGCCTCTCTCCAAACCTCCAATAATGGCACCCAATAGGTCTCTCCCCAATAAAAGGCAAAGGCAAAAGGACATCAGTGAATAATGAAAGGAACAATCTATATATACACACATGCTTCCTTCAGTAAGATTTAGAGAGAGAGAAAAGAGAGCCAGAGACAGAGAGAGCAAGCATCCTCTCTTTCTTCGATTAAAGGCCCACCAATATACATGAGGCACATCATTAGCACTCGTGAATGGATCCAAACCAACTATTGTTGGCAATGGGAAGATGCTTTAAAGGGTCAAGAGGGGAAGAAGGCCCATCCCTCCCCTTCATTCATCCATTCTGTTGTTCATCCATTCAAACTTCAGAAAGAAAGGCTTTGTTGTTGTTGTTGTTGATGTTGTTTTGCTTGTGGAGAAGATTCACTCCCCTTCACAATAATTGTACCCCTGAATCATTGCAGGCACCCAAGTGCATCAACAGTCAATCAGAATGTGGGCTTTGTCCTTTAAACCATAAAAAACGTTTTTCAACTGTTTCCATTTTCATTGCCTTTTCCCCAGATGTCTAGATGCTGGAAAATGTTACCTTCTGCGACTATCAATGAAAATGTATTTGAAAAGGTGAGAAAAAGAACAGGATGGAGTTTGGAGTTTGAGTGTGATGCTGGTAGAACTGCTTGAGTTTTTGAAAAAAGAAATGAAAAAAAGGAAAAGAAAGGGATTGGTAGAGGATATGGTACATTTTTGTATGGGTATTAGTTTGTGCATACTTTTTTGTTGGTAACAAACAAACAAAATGGGTCAGTTGTTCATAGAGATGGTTTTATAGAACTGGATTGAGAAATTTATATGGTTTCCTTTTTGTGTTGGCACACATTTTGTTGTACTTTCTACTCTGAGGTGTTTGAACTTTTCATTAAAAATAAAACTGTTGATTACAAATGAATGTTTGGTTTCATATATAATATGGTGATGTAAAAAAGCCTGTTGGCTATGACTGATGCTTGCATTTGAGTTTTTTTTTTTTTTTTTTTGGTGATTAACTTGACAAATGTTTTTGAGCATTGCTTGAAAACCATTTATTATGTTTCTTCTTGACATTAATCCAAATAAGTCATTTTGCAATAATTTGTACATTGTACCATTTTCTAACATATAAGAAAAGGCACTTTGTTTGATGAAAGCACACACACACACACATACATAAAACTGTTCTTTAAACTAATGATTCTTATTAACCAACTCATCAAACATTCTATTTCATTCAACTTATGTCCAAACTTGGACTCTAACATTATTAGAAAGAAAAAAGAGAAAGAAAAAGAAAAGCATCAAGATTAGTGTCTCAAGAATCCAATGATAGACATGATAATATTATACAGATTGCAATCAAAATCATTAATTTCTGGAACAAAACAATATATTAATTCAAGCTTAATGGAACAATACATCACAATATTTATATGGGTAACGAACATTCATACCCTGAGGTAATATTGCAAAGCAGTTCAAACCAAAGTATGTAGCAATTCTCTATTCCACACAACCATGCCACAATTCTGCAAAAATCCAAAACTTATTAAAATAGTCATGTTCTAGTTTCTAAGTTTTTAAGACCAATACTAAGTTCGAGGTCATAATTCCGTTGCGAATAAGAAAGAAAACCCTAAGTTCGGTAGCTAAAGCAAACCGTGTGAGCTATGCTACCATTCCTAACAATACCCTAGTTTAGGGTTAGCCATCGCCAATCTAGAGGGTTCCTCTTTTAGGCAAGCTATGGTTAGGACCTAAATTCAGACCCACGAATTGGCTCGTGGGACAGTGGAGGACCAAAGTGGTGACAAAATAATTGAGAAAGTCAGTTCCTTATTAAAGCTGAGCCGAGCAAGATCACATTGTTTCTATTCTTACGAGTACCCATTTCTTTATTTTTGCGAAATCTGTTCTGTGAGCTGGCTTCATCTCTTTTTTTTTTTTTTTATTGAAAATCTAACGGTCGCTACGGCCACTCTACAATTAGGATTTGTGCATGAACACACTCTAGGATTGAACAGTTGAGAGAGGGCTCGTGCAGTAAGAGCACGCACACTTGCAAATTTTTATTGATTGGCACTTTGAGCCAATGGATTCTT